GGCAATTCACTGTCATGTTCCTATGTCAGCTGACTCCTGGAACTTTGCTCCAGAAGCCCTACTCTGTTGGTTAGATAAAGTCGGCTTTTAAAATAGGGATTCATAAAATGATAGACTAGCTCATCAACATTTTATTTTTAATTTTAAATGTATGTCCATTCAAGTCCTCCATCATTTCTTAGGCATCAGGCAAAACCCTTCTCTTTTACTGTAAGACATAGTTACCCAGCCAGGAGTATCATCAGCTTCAGCTTCTTAGGGATAGACTCAAGACACCTGCAAAATGAGAGGAAAATTCTTGTAGATTTTGGTTTTCCTTCCCTTCAACAACTTTCTGAGTTGTTTTGTCAGCATGTAATTCCACAGCTTTTGAAAAAAAAAAAAAGTCTTTATCTGCAGCTGGGCTTGTGATGCACGCCTTTAATCCCAGCACTTGGGAGGCAGAGGCAGGCAGATCTTTGTGAGTTTGAGGCCAGCCTGGTTTACATAGCGAGTTACAGGACAGCTGGGGCTACAGGGAGACCCTGTCTCAAAAAGACAAAAAACAAAACAAAACAGTCTTTATCAATTTTTTCCCAAACATTCAAATTATTTTCATAAAGATTACAAGTCTCTTCACACTCAGTTTTGATTTTTGTTATTGAATTAAATTATGTAATTCAAAGTACAACTTACATAAACAAGGTTGGGAACAAATTCAATTAGCTTTTGGCAAGCACAGAAGTCAAGGTGGGGGGTGAGGTAGAGTGGTGAGGTGGGGTCGGGGAATGGGTTGGATGTGATTAGCCCACCAGGGAACAGGCAGTTTACTAGTTGTGAAAATGTGGTAGACCTTGAGCATGAGGCATTTGTTCTTCTGCAGAGAGCAAAGGTTAGTTCAAAGGTTCAGGCAACAGGGAGGGAAGAAAAACTAAGTTGGTTTAACAAGTGGAAAATTTAAGCCAAGCCTGGTGTCCTATCCTAGTGGAGGCAGGACGGCCACAAGCCGACCACAGGGAGACCCTGTCCTGAAAAACTGTAAGAAATTCAAGAGAGAAACAGCAACCAAACAACAACCACACAAAACAAAACAAAACACTAACAAAACAGCAAGCAAACAAACGAGAAGGTGGAAACATCTAACTTCAGGGCCTGAGCACGCTCAAAGTCACGTGAAAGTAAGAAGTGTTGAAAAGCTTTGGAAGGGACATTAACCATGAAGCTTTGGCCAGACCATTCTTGCTGAGGTCTCTGGTGGGATGGATAGAGGGCAATAAGCCTGGTACTGCCTTTTGCACGTATTTAGTGACAGGAACATGGTCTCAGCTAATCTAAAACTAAATATATTACCCTTTAGAGAAGTCAGGAAAGAAGCTGTTCCTGGTTTATGCTTGATAAAATATTGAAGTCTGAAGGGTCCATAAAATGGGTCAAATTACTGAGGGTGATAAAAGTCTCCCCCAGGGCTCTCCATGACTGTGAGCATCCACAGTAGGACACTCTCCTGACTACTGGTGCCCTTGAGGGATAAAGCTGGTGGTCTGTGGTAGAAATTACAAAGCTTTAACATATGAATAATGAAAATATCAGAGCGAGTTCTTCATTAGTGGTTGGACTGCACACTGAGAATGAGCCCTCAAAATGAAAAGAGGTGGTGTTCGAGGCTGGGCCGTGGAATTAGAAGGGTTCTTTCCCCCCTCTTAAATTGTCTTAATTGAAATCATATTACTAGAATCAATAAAAATAAACATTGAAAAACAAAACACCAGTGCAGATTACCAGCACAGTTGTAACTGGCCCAGTTTAAAGTTTTGGATAGCATGATTGGAAACCTCAAGCCTTATGGCCCCTGCTGGGATAATTCTTATCAAATTTAACAGAAAGATCAAATACTTTTTTTTTCTTTGAAAAATTTCCCTATCATTTATCTTCTCCTGCAGATGAAGAACTTTAAAGATTGAAAGATTAAATCCAAATCTGTTTTCCTAGATAGCATCTAAGAAACCAAATTACTAGCATCTAGATTTTGGAAGGTTGAACAAGGCCTCCAAAAGTCAACACAGAATATAATTTAGATTCTGAACTGTGGAGCCCAAATGTCACTTATGAGCTAAGTGACCTTGAGCAGTGACAATCTCTTTACACCTCACTTTCTACACCTGTAAAATATAGTTGCTATTACCTGACTGAAAGAATTAGAGAAATTAATGTGCAATAAATGAACTGGTATGTGTGTAATAAGCTCCATGCAGGTTTAAAGATTTATTTTTATTAATTATGTGTATGTGGGAGGGTATGGACACATTAAGTGCAGTTGCCCACAGAGGCTACAGGTGCCAGATCCCCCTAGAGCTAGAGTTATAGGCAGTTGGGAGCTACCTGACGGGAGCACTGGGAACCAAACCTGGGTCCTCTAGAAGAGCAATATGCACTCTTAACTGCTGAGCCATCTCTCTACTCCCCCCAAGAAAATTATTTTCAGCATTCTTCCACTGAATACTATCCTTCAAGGCTTTTGTTAATAATTTCTATTAAGACTAGACAAGCTAAACTGATACCGATGAGATTTATGTTCTATTTGGGGGCATTTCTAAATGGTAAGACAAAACTATCTGGTCTTCATCCCAGTTCCTGGTGTAGCATTCCACAGACTTCTGGACTCATCATCTTCTGTCTGCTGAGAACAGACGATTAGAATGCTAGACGACATTCAGCCTTGTCTTGCAAACTCCAGACGATTAGAATGCTAGACGACATTCAGCCTTGTCTTGCAAACTCCAAGGAGGGTCGAGAGGCTAGAGAAAGGGTAAAGACTCAACAGTGACACTCACTGAGCTTCTGGTTGGCAAGCACATTGCCATGCAGGGAGGACGGTGCCCTCAAAGCAATGAAGCCCTGTGCCATTCTCATCTCATGCTTCCCCCCGAATCTCTTCCGTTCAGCTGTACCAAGTTGTATCCTTACAGTGAATCCATGAGTATATTTTTCGTGAGTCCTGTGAGTCATTTAGAGAATTGTTTGACCTGAAGGGGGGCATCACTGGAATTCCCTTGATTTGTACTTCGCTGAGCAGCAGTATAGATAGCTTTGTCCATTTGCAGCTGACAAACAAGATACAGAGTTTAACTATCCAGTGTGGGGTCTGGATAGTGGCAGAAGAGAACTGAATTAAGACACCCAGTTGGTATTGAGAAAACCTTACTCTCTGTAGAAAACCCCTTATGAAAGAGCTTCAGGATGCTTATAAAAGGGAAGACCTTTGGTGATGTCATGGGCCCTGTCATTAATGAACAGTTTTGCCAAACTCAAAGAGACTCTGGGTTACAGAGTTTTGAAAGAAGCCAACTGCTGTCAGGAGGACACTCAGGTGGTGGAGAGGTTCACATGGTAAGGAATGGTGGCTTCCTATGGCCAACCATGACCAAGCCATCTTGAAGCAGTTCAGCCCCAGCGAGGTCTTCTGATGACTGCAGCTGTGGCTGACTGCTTACATAGAGTCTTCTGAGAGACACCAAACCCAGGTCATCAGCTGAGCCACTCAGATCCTGAATCCTTAGAAACTGAGAGATAACAACGTATGTGTTGTTTAAGGCTGCTGTCTTGGGGGTAATTTACCATGCAACCCAGGTAACCTGTACAGCATGCATTTATGATGTGAAATATAAAGAACATTTTCCAGACTTGACACTATTCAGCTGCTGAAACCCATCACTCTGACTCAAGAGCTAGAGCCAACTTCATTGAGATGTTATAAAAGAAATGGTTTCTTTCCTTTCCCCTGCCTGGTTGCCATGGCAGCCAGAGCATTCAGCTTGTCCTAACCTTCAGTCGATTGTCTAGGATATGTGTGATGAAATTTGAGGGGTGTCTCAATGAGAGCATGCCACCAGAAGGCTGGTAGCCTAGCTACAGAGAGTATGTAGTAATCTGTCTGAGCTTGGGTTTTCGTCTTACAAAGACAAATATCTTACCAGAATATTCAGACTGGAAAACTAAACTGAAAGGCCTAGTGGACAAACCACAGAACTGAATTCACACGGGAAGAATGTATAAATCAGAGTCCTCTTGATTGTTTATGTGCAGAGTGGGATTGGGGGTCCTCAGAGATTGTCCTTTACGTACTCTGGAATGATACCTGCCTGACAGCCACATCTACAGCCAGAAGGTAGGCCAGTCAAGCCAGAAATTAGTGCTTAAAGTGGCTAGTTTGGAGGTATGCTCTTCTCAAGCCACAGTGGGTCCTATTTGAAATAAGAGAGAGAATTCTAGTCACTGAACCACTGGATAACACTGTAGACACAGTGCTGTTTTGCTTCTCTAAAACCTGTTTCAGTGTTATTTCTATTCATATCCTTTCCTCACATGAGTTAATATTCCTTAACAACCCACAGAGTGCCTGAGAAATGCGGAGGGGCTCCTCTCTACATTTTCCGTAGGGATGGAGCCCAGGGCCTCATGCATGCTAGGCAGGAGCTGTACTGCAGAGCTCCCTCTCAAGTCCTCACGGTGTGTTAGTTTATTAAGTTTCACTCTCTGCGGGTTCCTATTGCTAAGTCCTTAGGAAGTAGCTCACTGTTCCCTCAACTGACAGAGAGGCCATTTATGTGGCACAGCAGAGCTGGTCCAAAGAACACCTTAGAAGCAGTGTAGAGTTTCAAGGATAGGACTGTAAATTTTTTAAGGTACTTTACTGGCTGGGTCATCTCGTTGGCCTCCAATCTCTGAGTTTTATTATCCTCAGAAACCCAGAATACACTAAGCTAAATGTTATTTACCTGCCATTTTAATCAGACATCATTCTTTTTGAATTTGTATCCTACCTACTAAAGGCATCCATCTCTTTCTGATTACTTTGTTTTACTGAAAAGAAAAAAACTAATTTTTCTTAAAAACAGAATGAGGTCTAAACTAATTCAAATTTCACATGAATTTTAAACAGCTATAAATACACAAGAGGAAAAGGTAAGCATATTACCTTTAATATTTCATAAATATCAATAATAAAAATTGAGATGGCTATATTGGGAAGGTTAATGCAAACTTTTATTTAGTTACTATGGCATACACTTAAACATGAACACATAATACACCCTGTCTTATCATGGGTAGTCTTTTACATAACAAACACATGGCTAACATTTTGTATAAAAAAGGAAAACTGAGTCTATAAATGATCAGAACAGGAACAAGGATCTTTGTATTAATGAGAAAGACTGTTACAGTGGTACGCCATCACCCCTCTCCTTGACTGAAGTTTACAAATTTAATCAACTGTATTGCTCTGCAAACCACTACTGACACACAAACACTGGGCCCTTTCAAAGAGCAGCAGAGACAGAACATCGCTGTGAACAGCTCTTAATTCTTCACTGGAGTGGCACTGCCCTTCATGGTCTTCTTTAGGTGGTGGTAATTTGGCAAAATTTTCATCAAGAAATCCAGCTGCAGTGTCTGGGGCTGAAAAGATGGGACAGTTAAGTCCAGCAGAAAGCAAAGACTACAATACTAGGTAGAAATATTACTGGAATGTTCACAGAATTAAACATGATTTTCTTTTTTTATATATTTTATTTATTCTATTTTTTGTGTATGTGTGCATTGCCTGCATATGTGTAAGTGCACCCTGTCATGCAATGCTGGAGGAGGTCAAAAGAGGGTATTGGATCCCCTGGAACTGGAGTTACAGATTGGAGTTACAACTGTTAGCTACCATGTGGGTGCTGGGAATAGAACCTGGCTCCTCTGCAAGAGCAGATAGATAGTGCTCTTAACCCTTGAGCCATTTCTCCAGCCCCCAACACGATTTTCAATGGCTCATTTTTGCTTATCTATTTGCTGTTTTAAATTTGTAATGAGCTGGGAGTGGCGGCAAACCCCTTTAATCCCAGGAGGCAGAAGCAGGCAGATCTCACAGAGATTGCAGCCAGCCTGGTCTACCCAGCAAGTTCCAGGCCAGCTGGGGCTACGAGACCCTGTCTCAAAAAAAAACCCCTTTTTCCGTAATGATGAGGTAGCAAGTTTGAGAATAAGATAAAGCCAAACAATTTTATACATTAAAAACACATAGGGGCACGCGTGCCTCCTAGCCACCGAGGGAGGATGGGGTGGGAGCCTGGCGGCGCCTCCTCCCTCACCTTGTTGCCCACAGTCCTCGGGCGGCACCGACGAGGAAAGACCGGATAGACCGTGAGACCACTGGCTCCGCGGGCAGGAGAAGCAGTGGCAGTGGCTGCGGTGTTCAGGGCCCGTGCACGGCAGATGACTTAAGGAAAGAAGCTTTGAAAATGTGTTTATACATTTTTTTCACGCTGGTTTCTAAACACTAAGAGTTTAGGTGCCACCCCCACACTGCCGGTGACGCCTTCAGCTGATCTTCCCCCCTCACAGGCCAGCACTGCACAAGCTTTCTGATTGCACTCAAAGAACTTGTGAAAAATAATCTGTATTTTTTTAAAGCTCTGAACCCTAGACATTTAGAGTCCAAGGAATCTGTTTTTAATAAAGACCATGGCACAATTATTATGATCAGTGAAATCTGGCAAACAGTAATGCATGCCTATAAAAAGTTAAACCAGATATTCGAGGGCTAGACTTCTTTACCCCATAGTAGGGGCCCAGATCTTCATCCAGCCTTGATGTGGTGGTGAGCTTTTCCAAGTTGTGCTGTGGCTACCTGCTAGTAGGGGTCCAGACCTTAGAACGAAACCTGAGGGTACCTGTCTGGAGCCTGACTTGGGCCTCTGTGTGAGCTTTTGAGTAGCTGGACTGATGCCATCTGTTCCCTCCAATATAAAATCTGGGAGAACCTGAAGCCTAGACCAACCAAATAAGAAAATAACCAAGGCACATCAATAATACAAACAGAAGCCTTTCAACAAAAGAAGGCTTGAGTTTCATACCAGAATCACAGACAGCAAAAGAAATCCACATGCCAAAATCACAACGGAAAAATAGCAGTATAGAAAACCAAAACAGCATGTTCCCACCAAACTCCACCAGTCTTATAGAAGAGTTCTACAAGGAGAACTCCTCAGAGATAACCCAGGACACAGATTTTAAAAGAACAATCATAAACATGATCAAAGAATTCAACAAATTTAAAGAACACACAAACAAATCAAAGAACTAAAAGAAGATAGGGATAAACTTCTGACTGAATTCACAAGAGATAGAAATAGTGAAGAAAATTCAGGCTGAAATGAAGAAGGAAGTGAAAAACTCAATAAGCCAACTTGAAACAACAGGAGAAAGCCTTACTGCTAGAATGAATGAAATGGAAAACAGAATATCAACACTGGAGGATAAAGTTGAAGAACTGGACCACTCAAGCAAAGATTATGAAAAATTTAAAAAAACACAGGAATGGAATATGCAGGAGATGTGGGACACCATGAAAAGACCAAATCTATGTTTTCATAGGCATAGAGGAAGGAGAAGAATTTCAGGTTAACAGTATTGACCAGATCTTAAACAGGATTGTAGAAGAGAATTTCCCAAAATTAAGGAAAGACATCCCTATACAAATACAAGATGCATATAGAATACCAAGTAGACAGGACCAGAAAAGAGACTCCCCATGGCACATCATAGTAAAAACAGAACAAAGACAAAATACTGAAAACTTCAAAAGAAAAATAACTCACATATAAAGGAAAGCCCATCAGAAGTACAGCTGACTTATCAATGCAAACTATGAAAGCCAGAAGAGCCTGGACCAAAGTATTCCCAGTTCAAAATGACCATAGATGTCAACCAAGAATACTTTACCCAGCAAAAATGTCTATTAGAGTTGAAGGGGAAAGAAAAATCTTCCATGACATGAATAGGCTGAAAGAATTCATGTCCACAAAACCAGTCCTTCAGAGAGTTCTTGAAGTAATACAAAGAATGGGAAAAGGAACAGCTACACCCAAGGGGCAACAGAAAGAAACTAAGGGAAGTTATAATTGTGGAAACACAAAATTAGACCAAGAATGCAAACAGAAATCAAAATGACAGCAGCATCTTTCAATAATGACTTTAAATATCAATGGACTGAACTCCCCAGTCAAAAGACAGAGGCTAGCTGAATGGATTAAAAAACAAAATTCATCCTTTTGTTGTCCGCAAGAAACCCATCTCATCTTTAAGGACATGCGCTACTATAAGGTGAAAGGATGGAGAAGAATATTCTAAGCAAATGGCACTAAGAGGCAAGCAGGGGTTGCAATTCTAATATATGACAAAATAGGCTTCAAACTAAAACTAATCAGAAAAGATAAAAGGGGCCACTTCATTCTGATCAAGGGAACAATTGACCAAGAAGATATTACAATCATGAACATATATGCACCAAACTCTGGTACACCCAATTTCATAAAAATGGTACTATGACAGATTAACCCCAACACAGTAATAGTAGGGGACTTCAATACCCCCACTTTCTCCATTAGACAGATCACCCGACAAAGAATAAACAGAGAGATATCTGAATTAAATGATATCATTTATCAAATGTACCTCACAGATGTCTACGAATATCGCACCCAAGCACCAAAGAATGTGTTTTCTATTCAGCACCCCATGGAACTTTCTCTAAAATTTACTACACACTGGGGCACAAAAAAAAACCTCAACAAATACAAAAATAATTGAAATAATTCCTTGCATTCTATCGGACCACAATGCAATAAAGCTTAAAATCAACACTGAAAGAAGCTCTAGTAACCACATGAACTCATGAGATTAAACAACACACTCCTGAGTAATGAATGGGTCAAAGGAGAAACTAAGAAATAAAAATATTTCTGGAACTAAATGAAAAGGACAATACAACACAACAAAATCTCAGGGACACTTTAAAAGCAGTCCTAAGAGGGAAGCTTATAGCTCTAAATGCCTACATAAAAAAAATCAGAAAGTCGCTGGGAGTGGTGGCCCATGCCTTTAATCCCAGCACTCGGGAGGCACAGGCAGGTGGATCTCTGTGAGTTCAAGGCCAGCCAGGTCTACATAGTGAGTTCCAGACCAGCTGGGGCTACAAGGAGACCCTGTCTCAAAAAGATCAAAAATAAAGAAATAAAATCAGAAAGAGCACAAATAAATGACTTAACATTGCAACTCAAGACTCTGGAAAAGCAAGAACAAATGAAACTCAAACCCAGCAGAGATTATTACAGAGTTCTACAACTGGTCACACATAGAGATTGTCAGTGAATTGTCCAAGCCTAAGTGGCACATCTACAATGCAACCTCTACACCTAAGGCTCACGGAACATATAACAAGGGATGAAGAGAGCACTAATACATCTTTCAATTCTCATCAATGAAGCTCCCTCATGCAACAGAGGGCCAGGAACACAAAAGGTCACAAATGGCCAAAGTGTGGAGAGTAAGAGTCTGCAGAGTGTGGGTTCTTAGACAGGACTTTAAAATCCACCCACTCAAGGCTCAGTGACCACTGCAGAAGAGGGAGTGGAGAAATTGTAAGAACTAGGAAGGAGGTGCATGACCATACAGAAATAGTCCTACAGGCTCCTGGAACTCTTCTCATACAAACCTACAGCAATGGTGTCAGCACGCACAAGACTGATGCAAACTCAAGCAGACAAAAACCCAGCACAGACCTCAGAAATGGACAGCAGGCTCCAATCTCAGTGAAAGAATTATTGGCAGCTGATTACTGCTGGGTGAGGAAGAGCTGACCTTCTTAAAAGGAGGGATACTAGATAGGCTGACTAGACCTCAGTGGATAAACTTGTACTGAGGGACAACTGGGGACACTAACTTGGCATGACAGGCCTTAACACAAAATGACAGAATGTATGAATTCCACTGGGGGGAGGGTGCTTTGGGATGGGGCCAAAGGGAAAGGGTATAAAGATGATTAAGATGTTCTGTATGAAATATATAAAAATTCAATAAAAAAAATTTAAAAAACCTTCAGCTATTCTTGCTTACTTAATTATAATCTCTTTTCTGTAATTCTAGCTTTATTTATACCTCTTTAATCATTTTGCTAATTTTCCTTTTAGCCTACAGACTACTACTAGCTTATAATAATGCCAAAATTTTAAAAGTAAAGTAACCCATGGGGCAGGAGAGGTAGCATGCGGTAGAGCGCTGGCTTAGCACACAAGAAGCCCTGGGTTTACTCCTCAGCACCACATAAATCAGGCATAGTGGTACAAGTCTGTGATCTGAGCACTAAGGGAGGTAGAGACAGGAGGATCAGAGTTCAAGGTCATCTCTGGCTACATAGTAAGTTCCAGACCTGCATGTGCTACATTAAACCCTGAGAATGGAAAAGTAATCCAGAAAGAACTGGAGTTTTAATGTATGATAAAAAAAAAAGTATGACAGAGATTTAGAGATAAAGCTTTAAATGTTCTGAAAGAAAGAGAAGGCTAAAGAAATATGTACTGACTATACCAAGACATGTAATTCAAAACTTCAGTCTGAACGTCTCATGTCTAAGGAGGCCCAGAGGTCCTTGCTTTTTCATCTCCTATTCAGCATTATTCTTGGTTTGGGTTATTAAGAGGGGATAATTTCTTGTAAGCCTAGGAAATATCTAAACATACTTCTTTATTCATAAGATGTGTTTATAATCAAACCATGTTAGTCATAAACTAATAAACAGACTTAAGTCAGAAGCCCAAGGTAAAGTTGGTAGGGTCACTCCTTGGTCTTGAAGATACTTTTTCTTCTTCTTCTTCTTTTTTTTTTTTTTTTTTTTTTTAGACAAGGTGTCCCTGAAGCCCCAGCTGGCTGGAATGAGGACATTTTGGAAGTGAACTGTATGGTGTGAGTGGTAATGAATTTTTCAGGGAAGATACATAAGACAGGAACAGCAACAGCAACTGTGATCTTCCTTTATCATCAACTTGTCACTGTCTCACACACACATACATACACACACACACACACACACACACACACACACACTCCCCTTGGATTTTAATATAAAGAATTAATGAATCAGTTGCAAATAAATCCAAATTTTAGGAATGTTTCTGATGTTTTATTCATTTGTTCCCCTCCACCACCACTTTTTTTTGGCATTGGGGATGGAACTCAGGGCTTTACATGCTAAGCATACATTATCCCACTCAGTCACATTCTGGCCCCTAATCATTTGCTTTTTACAGTGAGTTTGCTACCAATTAAGACAATCAGATAGCTCAGATGTTAAGAGCACTGGCTGCTCTTGCAGAGGGTCTGGTTCCCAGCACCCACATGGCAGCTCACAACTGCCTGTAGCTCCAGTCCCAAGAGATGTAACAACCTCTTCTGGCCTCCAAGGGTACCAGCTAGGCATGCGTGTGGTGCACAAACATACATGCAGGCAGAACACTCACACATGTAAATAAAAATAAGTATTTTATTTTATTTTTTAAAAAAGAACAGGTGGTGTTTTGGGAGTTAGCAGGCCTAGACAGAACTCTTTAACAAGAGGTTCCCATACCTGTGGTCTCTCCGTCTGCACCCGGCGCAGGCAGTCTGTACCATAGATCACTGTGTTCTCAGGAATGACTTCAAAAGTATTTAGGTTGCAACAAGCCCCAATGATGCAACCACTGGTCAATATTACATTTCTCCCTACGTATGCTGCAGTAAAGACACAATTATAGCCGGAAGCATCGAATGATTATAACAGCTTTCATTGTTTTTATACTTTTCTCTGTGACTTAGGTATAAAAATGCATTGGTCTTAAGAAACTCTGAAAAGGAAATGCTTTGGTACAGAGTTTGCACAGACAACACAGAAGCAAGCATACAGCATAGCATTTGGATTCGAAGCAGAGCTCCCTGCTGACTGACCGTCTGGGTGGCCTTGGGTGAGTCAGTGTAAAACCTCTGAGCAGGGAGACTGTCCTACTTCACAGTCTGCTTTAATCAATGAGGTAATGAATGCACAGCACTGCATACAGGTTTGGCCTCAGATAAATGGAAGAGGCTGATGACAATGATAATAGTAATGCAAATTAAAAATCATGAAGTAAACTAACAAAAAGTATGATTTTACCTTTTCAAAAAGAAGGACTTTTTGTTTGTTTTTGTTTTTTGGTCAATCTGGACCAAGAAAGATAAAGCAGTGTTCTAAAGTGCCATTGTTCAGGTTCTCCTAAACTTTAGTGGGACAAGTTCCGTGAGCTGGGCCTGGACATAATCCACTGCCTGGCTCCAGTTTTGATAAGTAGATAACATCTGTCTCTGATTGGCTAGGGTAAAGCAGTCCAGAAATTAAAAAAAGCAATTTCCTGAAGAAACTGTCATTTGTTTTCTTTCATTCTACAAAACACTAATCAACTAAAATATCACCAACACTAGCTTTTAGCAGACATCTATTTCAAACTTTTCAATGGAGCTTTAAGGTTTAATCCAATTCCAACTGGATTTTTAATTTAATGTAGTTAGCCGCATTATCAGATAACCACATAACCAAATTAGGTTCTTTTGAGGCAAAGAATTAATTTGACAATGACTGTAAGCATGCCACATTGCCAAAGTTTGTACTCAGGCCATTTCCTAGGACACACAAAAAGAGAAAGGTGGAAATTCATTGAAATAAAACTCAACACTGCTTACCTTTTGACTCAATGACATTATTATCACCCATCTTCATGGCTTGGGACTCTGTTAGCTAGAGTTAAGTAAATACTGTAAATATGCTCATCATTTTTCCCTCACACAAAGGTGTGAGAAGGCCAACGCAGGCTCACCCTTGCAGGAGTCTTTGCTCAAACATAAATACCCCTAAGTATTAATAAATGACTCAGATGCCTTTTTCAAAAAAAATATTATTACATTTACTTATTTGTTGTGTGAATGTGTATGTGTATGCACCTGTGCATGTACATGTGTGCCACATATGTATGAAATCAGGGGACAACTTGTGGGAGTCAGTTCTTTCCTTTTACCACATGGGACCCGAAGAGCAAACTTGGGTCATCAGGCTTGGCAGCAAGCACCTTTACCTGCTGAGCCATCTCGGCAGCCCTCATACGTCTTTTCAGAGAAATGAGGACCTTCTGCCCTGATTTTATGAGTATATTTTTACAACTGCTATAAGAAAATCAAAACTATGTATCACCCAATCACTTAAATAGTATTTTGTATGTTTTGCTGACACTGTGAAAAGGTTCAACTATCTTTTAGGGCATACAGCCAAGCAAAGGAACTGGGGACACCCAGAGTGCAAAAACGACACATACATAATGAAGTATTTTCACCCCCCCACCATTTTCCTGAATCAGACAACATATCACCACCTAAAAGGGTACAGGAATCAAACTAACCAAAGTGTGATTATTTAAAAAAATTTTAAATCACCTTTATTTATCTTGTGTGTGTACATGTGTGTGCACATGCCATGGTACACGTGGAACTCAGAGGGGAACTTGCTGGGTCGGTTCATTCCTTCTACCAAGTGGATCCTGGGCACTGAACTCAGGTCTTCAGGCTTGGTGGCAAGTGCCCTTACCTGATGAGCCATTTCAGCAGCCCAAGGTGTGATTCTTACCTCAGGACAGAAGCCAGGATTAACTTCTAAGTGTCTGGTGCCCCTCAACCACTGCTATGGTCAAAGAGCTCCCATTCTAGTAAAGGGTTTTCGAAGTACCAAGCTAAAGATAACAGATGTGTGCTAGTCAGTACTTATTTTACCTGGTTACTCACTTGAACAGGTTCTCTATCTTTTCTGTGGTGCTGGGGATCAAATACATGCTAGCCATGTGCTCTACCACTGACCTATAGCCTCAATCCCAGAATAGATTTTTTTTTGGTCTTTTTGAGACAGGGTCTCCCTGTAGCCCCAGCTGGCCTGGCACTTGCTATGTAGACCAGGCTGGCTTCAATCTCACAGAGATCTGCTTGCCTCTGCCTCCTGAGTGCTGGGATTAAAGGCATGTGCCACCACACCCGGCTAAAATATTTCTTAATATACTGCAAATAAGTCTGTTCAAAGGGCTTGATGGCCTAGTCTTAAAATGGAATAATGATATGTATTTTAAGTAATTTGGTAGGTAAGTTATGTCAGTTTCTATGTGGGGGGAGATCTGGGCACCAAAAGAACACCTGGGAATGATGGTGGCAGAGCCATGCAAAGGATACGGCAGCCAACTTCAAACACATTATTGGTGCCAATGATCATAGGTTTGGGCTCTGAGTCTCCAGCATCTGGGATGATATCATCCGGATGGCTACGAAGAGAAGAGAGATCAGAAAGGCCGAACACTGTTAAGTGCCCCCTCCTGTTTTAGAACTTGAACTGTCTCAAATTTACCTGCATCGAGCTTAAAATATAACGATGTCAGTTACTTTCTCTGTGCTGGGGAAGGCTGCATTCTAAGCTAACAAATGACTGAAATGCAAGGAAGTCAGAGGTATGTAGAAAGGCAGCCTTCCTTCATCTGAAAGTCAAGGGACTTTCTCTAGGACAATGTTTAAAAAAGATGCTAACTATACTTTCAGTCTGCTAAATCAGAATCAAATCATGCCATTTCCATTCATAATAGCCATTTAAAACTGTGAAACGCACACAGATACTTGTATGAAATAACTGTTTTGTGATATAGGTATTTAGCTGAACTGTGTAAGATAAAGCATCTGTGCTGGGCAGTTCCATCTCACAGCTGAGCTCCTGCAGAGGCACCGCTCTTAACTGACTTGCACGGATGCTGCCAAGTATGTTTTAAAGAGAAACTGCTTAATATAGTAAGAAATCCCAGGTCCGATGTAAGCACTCAGACAAATCAACCTTTTATCACAGTTAAATATTTTCCTAAGGTCTTTACACAAATTCCATACATTGTTGCTACAAATTAGGTAAAAGCTTGGATTTCTTGCCAAAAATTTTATCTAGAAAAATGTACTTATTTTTAATTTTTGGGTTTTTTTAGACAGGGTCTCCCTGTAGCCCCAGCTGGCCTGGAACTCACTATGTAAACCAGGCTGGCCTTGAACTCACAGAGATCCACCTGCCTAAGCCTCCTGAGTGTTGGGATTAAAGGTGTGTGCCATCACGCCTGGCAATCTATCTAGAAAAATTTATAAATGCTCATGAAAATTCCATGGGTATTACGGACTTGTTCACAAAGATTACATACATTATCCACTATTTTATTATATTTTTATCTTTAAAGTTTAGAAATTACCATGAGGATTCCCACACTTTTAAGTATAATTCTGGATGCAGCTTATGTGGAACACCAGAAACAGTGAGTCAGGTTCATGTGTGGACCTCAAAGACATCCAACCACTTCTTCAGAGTGGTAGGCTCAACATTAGGATGTTGGAGGACGCCAGGAAATGTGTAATTAGTGGATGGGTGGTGTTCTGGTTTGTTTCTCCATTGCTGTGACAAAATACTCTGACCAATACCAACTTGGGGAGGAAAGGGTTTATTCGGCTTACATCTCCTGGGTCAAACAGTTCATCTATGAGCCCAAGGTAGGAACTCAGGGCAGAAACCTGGAGGCAGGAGCTGAAGCACAGTCTATGGAGGAACACCACTTACTGGCTTGCTCTCCAGGTCCCTGCTCAGCCTGCTTTCTTATGCAATACAGGCCCACCTGCCCAGGGGTGGCACCACCCACAGTGGGCTGGGTCCTCCCACAGCACACAACAATCAAGATTTCCAATAGACACGGTCTCAGGCCAGTTCAATGGAGGCAATTCCCCAGTTGAGGCTCCCTCAACCCAGGTGTGTCAAGTTGACACTAAAGCTGTCCAGCACAGGTGGTACAGAGGGGACCAAGGGCTGAAGGTTCTGGTTGGCCACCAACAAGCTTTCTCACCTTGGACAAATCCTTTCTTGGTTTTTGGGTTCCTCACTCACTTATGTTGAAAAAGATTCTTAGTAATATTTCTCTAGCTCTAAAATACTATATATTTTTATATATTTTAAACTTGTAAATATAGCTTAAATATATTTGAGTTGTAAAAGGTTCTTATAGACAGCTGAAATTGTTGAAAAATATTAACTGTGGTGTTCAGTGTTTGTAAGTCTTACTCACGCGTTTATGATAAGGGCCTGCTCTTCTATAAGGTTACCTTCACCAATAATTATTGGCCCAGCTTCTGCAATAATCCGTGCTTTAGGGTGGATCACTGTTCTAGGTCCTGTGAAAAATACCATGTGAGAAGTCATTATCAGCATGGCTATGCTTCAACAGGAGTCTGGGAGGTGATGGAGGTTGGGGCCTGTTGGGAAGAACATTTCCTAAGTGTGCCAGGCACCAAGCTACAAGTACTATCTCTGTGGCTGTTATCAGTGGCAGTTACTGCCTGATCTAGAGGCAGGTAAGTGAAGTGGCACAGGCACGAGAACCAGACAGCTCACCCTCCACCCTGAACCTTCTGTGACCTCAGCAGGACATGCAGGTGATACACACGCAGTCCTGCGGTGCTGTGTGAAGATGAGATGACACTGGAGACAGAGCTGGTGATAAAAACAAACTCTTCCTTTCTCTCAGCCAGGTGAGGCACTCTGCTGTAACATGATCTTTTCCTATGTCATTATGAGGAAATACAGGTGGATTCTTGAAGTCAGAAAACACAGGCTCCAACTTCAGCTTGGCCCTTTGTTTTTACCCAAATTGAAGCATGTCTATTGGATGGAGCAGGACTTCTGTTGTTCGGATGGGACATGGTCTAGACCAGTTCCAGTGGAAAAGGTTGGAGGGAGGCACGAGATTAATCCTTGGCCCCTCAGATCCTGACTTTGGGAATCTGAGTCAGTGGCTCCAGTGACAAATCTAAGGGAGAGTTTATAGCCATACTAGCTGGACATGCCCCACCTCGAAAGTAAGGGAGCAAGGAAGACACCCCTCCAGAGCTGGGTGGTAAAGACCCACCCTGTATAACTGGGACCCCGATTCTGAAATGCACGCACGCACACACACACACACACACACACACACACACACACAAACACACACCCCTACCCTATATAGCCAGGACCCTGGTGCTAACTCTGAAACAAACACACACACACACACTCACACCTACCCTATATAGCCAGGACCCTGGTGCTAACTCTGAAACACGCACATGTGCACACATGATGCACACATACAGACACACACACCCCTACCCTGTATAGCCAGGACCCTGGTGCTAACTCTGAAACACACACACACACACACACACACACACACACACCTACCCACCCTGTACAGCCAGGACCCCGGTGCTAACTCTGAAACGTGTGCACATGCACACATGCACACACACATGCACACATACACACACGCACACACGCACACACACACACACACACGAACAAAGGCTTATCTGCCCCCATACCTAGTGTTTTGGTAAGAATGAAACCACTAATAAGCAAACACATCCTCCTTTACCTCACACCCTTCCTACTCATCCCAACACCAAAGTTATTTCTCTTTCTTCCTGCTTATTTTGTGTTCTTGAGGCAGGGCTCCACTATGTGTCCCTGGCTGGTCTGGACCTGGAATCCTTCTGCCCAAGCCTTGTGCATACCAAGGCTACTTCTAGTCATAAACAGTGACAAGAAGTAATTGACTCTGAAAATACTGGACAGTGGATCAACAAAAGGCTGGGGAGGGGTCAGGAAGGTACATTTTTCAGTATTCGGTTATATAACTTGTTAATTAAAAAGTCATCTGCTTATAAAAAGGCAAGCTACAACACTGTATGTTATAGAAAACAAAACAAAACCATACGCTGGCTCGGGGCGTAGCTCAGTGATAGAGTACGTGGTTAACATGTAAAAGGCCTTGAGTTAAGTTCCCCAGAACCAAACGCACAAAAATCAAGAAAAGAACACATGCTATTTTTGCCCCTTTGAGTTTATCTTGAAACTGGGACTGCATAACATACTCACAAATCTACTAGATAAATGCCCAGAGAGCAGCAAGATGAACTCACTACCGGCCCAGAGGGCAGCAAGGAAGTTCAGTGCAGCTCGTTCTCTCTCCTGACAACAAAGAGCTGGGGGAACTGATGAAGAGGGTGGGGGCCCCAAACAGGACACAAAGTCCAAAGACAGCATCCAGCAAGAAAAAATGCAAGTGGTCCTGATATTCCTGACACCTCAGGTGCTCAAAACCTGCAGCTCCTAATGGAATTTCCCAAGCTTTGAGGTCTTCCATTCAGGAGAGAAGACAGGCAGATCCCTGGGAAGCTTCTCCAGCTAACCGTGTGCCTTTTTACCTTATGTATACATGTGTGACCCCCTGCATGTATGCATGGGTACATACATACAGATACAAGTGTATACATACAGATACAAACATATACACTTACTTATAACACATGATCATTACTAACAATTAAAATAAAGCAAAGCAAAAAGTAAAAGGGCCCATCATGTCGGCACTCCTTGAAGGTATCTCTCCTGTGACGTTTGGGGTATACTATTCCAGACTAAATACTAGGGTACTTAAGATCTGCAACTATCACTATATACAAAGCATATGTGTTAAAAAGTTTAAAAATATAAATAGAAAAATAAAAAAAAAACTTTGAGGAAAACATGTACATACTTCAAAACTAAGGAATAGTATTTGTTCTATAATTAGTTTTTTAGTGGTAGTTTTTCCAGGTAAGTGTATCTGGGTATGTATTTTTTTTTAATGATTATAAAGTATCTTACATCACATCACTATATTACCATTTACTTAACCGATTCCTTAATAAAGGGCATCTAGATGTTATACTCTCCAGGGGAGGAGAGGCACTAACAGAGCTAACACAAATACTGAATTTTTGAAATGAGTACTTCTAAGTCTTGCAGTTGTATGAGCCAAATGAAATCTATAGCTTTCACAACACAGGTTTATTTTTTGCTCAAATGTTCCATAATAAAGGGACACAATTGATTTTAGGTTCCTTGTAATTACAGTCCCAGCCAGCACCCGACCTTGTCTGAAAAGTCTGGACTGTGAGCTCCATCACTTACAGGCTGCATGCTTACTCTCTCAAAGGCCAGTTTTTACATCTATAAAAAGACGAGATCCTTAGCAACGTACTTCATTGGGATGAAATACGGTTATAAGAAATAAAGTTTGAGCTAGGTGTGGTGGTACACGCCTTTAATCCCAGCACTCGGGAAGCAGAAGCAGGTGGACTCTGTGAGTTCCAGGCCAGCCTGATCTACATAATGAGTTCCAGGCCAGCTGTGGCTACAGGGAGACCCTGTCTCAAAAAAGACACATGCACAAAAAAAAAAAAAGAAAGAAAGAAAGGAAAGAAAAGAAAAAAAGGGAGATCATGGGGATTTGACTGGCAGCTCTTAAAATGAGAAGTTCAGGGGGTGACAAGATGGCTCACTGAGTAAAGGTGATTGTTGCCAAGCCTGACAACCTGAATTCTATTCCTGGAACCCTCACGGTGAAGAGAACAGACTTCTCTGACCTCCCCACGTGGGTCATGGCACACACACAATACATAAATGTAATAAACCATTACAAAATGAGACATTCACTATTTGCCACCAAGAGCTAAGAACTTCTGCAAAGCAGCTCATTCAGGTCTCAGCACAGAACAGGATCCACTTTTCTCCTTTACTCAGGGATTATGGTGATGCCTCTTTTAACCAAGGGGGTGGGGGGGGTTGTGCAGTATTACAGAGCAGTAAAAAGGTCAATAAAAGATTAAATAGGAAGCAGAGCTCATCATGGCTGTGACAGACCGCAGACCTTCTGTCAGCTAAATAGAGGGAGGCACTGGCTATTCTCATGGCCCTCAAGCGGTAGCTTCCACAAGCAACCTGCGAGAAGCTACTTCAGGATGGATTCTGAAGACTGTGGCACCACTGGGACTTGAGGATTTTGTTTGTTTTAAAAATTTAACTCCTGGGCTGGAAAGATGGCTCAGTGGTTAAGAACACTGGTTGTTCTTTCAGAAGACCTGGGCTCGAATCCTAGCACCCACATGGCAGCTAACAACTGTCCATAACTCCAGTTCCAGGGAAACCAATAGCCTCTTCTGACCTCTGAGGGCGTTGCACAACACTGGTGCACTTACCTACATGCAGGCAATACATGCATATACAT